CAAGGCTCGGGGGTCCAAAATTATCTTCTGTGTCTGTGTTAATTGGTTTCCCTTTTCTTTGTTGAAGAGGGTCTGTGCAATCCTTCTGCCTAGTCTGCCATCTTGCCGGAACTCCCATTTTTCATTTTCTTGCATGTCTTGTTTAAATTTTGGAATCCTTCTATGGAGTTAGTTTTTCACAATCATTTAAAAGTTCTCAGAGTTTTGCTTTCTCTATCTCTCTCATTTTCCACATTATCTTTTTTTATAAATACAGTATCTTTCTGAAATCCACCTATCTTATTCTTTCTGTTTATCTTGGTCTCACTCTTTTATTAATCCAAGTTTGGGAGCTCTGTGTGTGAACATGGTGCTAGGTTTTAGAGGTCTTTAGAGAATTTGTTCAGAGAAGATCCCTGTGGATTTTTTTTTTCTAAATACACTCCTGCCTAAGATTGGTGGAACTTCACTGTTTCCTCCTAAGAGCCACAGTCAGTGTCATTTTTTCAATCCCATTTCTCACTCTAGCCTTCAGTAATAATTATTACTTCCTAAGCCAAACCCTCTGTGATCTCCCAGCCATATAAATTTATCAGCTGCAGCCTCTCTCCTCCTAAGTTTTTATGTAACTGCCACACCACCATCCAAAGAGGTGGTAACCTGTAGCAAATTATGATGCTTAACAGTAAAAATAGAAATACATCCTGTAGAGAGGTTTGGCTTTTTTTAAATATTAAAAATCTGAAAGATGATTATTTGGTGTTCTTTCAAATACCTTAATTGTCTATCTCAAACCATACTTGCCTACTAAAAAACTTGCTCATTGTACCTTCATTAATAGATCTATTGGCTCCAATTGACTTTGAATTGTGGAAATAGCTTATTCTCAAAAAATGAAGACTCACCAAAACTGAAAATATGCTAAAAAATAATTGGCTTCTACAAAAAGTTCTGAGGATATTTTAAACATTGGCAATGTGTATGAAGCAAGTTTACAGCCTCTGAAGGTTAAACAGTTCTCCCTTTACAAGAAAAACATTCATGTGAATGTATAGTTTGCTTTTGTTGGTTTCAAAAAAAAAATTTATTTTTAAATGATGATTTCTTTAATCACAGCATTATAGCATTCAGGTATTCCTGGATGGCACAAATGGTTAAACACTCAACTGCTAACCCAAAGGCTGGTGATTTGAATCCACCCAGAGGCACTCAGAATTAAAGGCCTTGCCATGTGCTTCTGAAAGATCACAGCCTTGTTAGCCGTATGGGGTATAGTCTACTGGGACATGTATGAGGATGCATCAGTAGGAATTAACTCAGGGGCAGCTGGTTCGGGGATTTTTTTTTTTTTCCTTTTGGTCGTTGTTTTAGCAGTTATATAGGATGGACTAGGAAAGACCAATAGTCTAGGTGTGGCAAGGATGAGGGATTGGACTAGATTGGAGGCAAGTGTGGGAGAATAGTTGTACTACTGATGATATGGGGAAGAGGCGTTCAAAGTAATGGGTCTCAACCCTACTGCACATTACAGTCACTGAGAAGTAATATTTTTAAAATAAGTTTTAAACAATTACTGTTTTGTTTTTTTAAAAAATAATCTCTGAGCTCTATCCAAGGCCAATTAAATCAGAATCTTTGGGACATCTTCTAGAAGAAGAATGAAGTTATACAAGTTTTTCCTTCTCAGTTTTCATCAAATCAAGAGTTCACCAAACTTGGTCTCTTCTCGGTTTATGATATAATTTTAGTTAAAATCACATTATTTGGTTAGCACTCTGCCATTCTGTACTTGATGCCTTTTTCTCTTGTTTTAATAATCTTACCTGTAACACATATTGTCGCGCTCTGTCCACATCTCCTGGCAAACTGAACCGTCTCATTATCATAGCATTCATTTCTGGGAACTAACCATAAAGAAAAAATTTATTGCTCGTGGGTGTATCAAATGTTCTAATGCTATTCTGTAGTTTACCATAGTAGTTAGGGGGGCAAAGACAAAAAGTGAATTAAACGTCTAGATGATGTGGGGGAGCAGTAAACTGTAGCAGTTAAGCTTTTCATGGCCCGTGGGAGATACATCACCATCAAACATTTTTCAGCCTCTCAGATTTCTTGGGAAACTGTCATCCCACTTGTAGTATGGGCTGCCACCTGGCAGGGACCTGCAAAACTGCATGAATCTGAAGAAATGGGCTTTGTCCCACCAATGGTGCCACCAGAGTTCACCTGGAACATGTTTCTAACAAAATTGTATCAATTTGTATTGACTGTATCAACTGTATCTATATTACCTTCTTTAAAAAAATTTACCTCTTTAATTTCAGCATACCTCCTATTACTGAAAACACATAGTATCAACAAAAAATTCAAAGCAGAAAATAATTTGGCAATGGAAGGATAAAGGAAGCAAAGGGAGATATCCGTTTTCCATGCCCTGGGATTGAGATAGTACATGGGGAGGGAGCAGCCATTGATTCTTGGTGTGTAAAAAAAGGGAAAGGGAATCAAGGACAACTCTAAAATCTCAAAAGAATGTGGGGGGAAAAAAAAGATTCCAGAGCAGGATTTTGGTGTATCAAATAACTCTCCATTTTTATTCTAAAGAGAAAGGCATGATAAAGTATAGGTTCTTTAACTTTGACTCATTTCACATTTTTATGTAACAAATACGTAGCATTTTGAAGTACCAGGTACTGTTCAAAACACTTTTTTAATCTCCCAACAATTCCCATTTTACAGATGATAAAATATGCATAGAAAAGTTAAAATAATTTGCTCTAAGCCTTAAACTAGTAAGTAGTAAAGCCAAGTTTTAAACCCAGGCACTTTTGGTTCAAAGTTGTTCTCTTAACATAAATTCCTTTGTTTCGACCCCCAAATAATCTGTTTCACTTTGAGGAAGAACTTGAGGGTGGCCCTAAATCTTGCTTAGGATATTTTTACTGAAATTTAATAATTCTTAATGATTTTTACCTACTCACAACCCTATTATACGTTCTATAATCAACAAATGCATGTGCTTATTTTTCCTTAATGTGATAATGTTTTCCTTTCAAAATCAGAAACAGACTTTGAACAATTTAAAGAAAGCAAAAGAGACTTTAGGTCTTAGCCCAGGCTTAAAAGTAATTAACTGTTTTCACAAAGGTAGTGAAGAAATTCAACTTTGATTTTCTTATCATAGTATCCCTAAGAAAGGAAGGTTGTGGTTAATTATTATTGGCCTGCAGTTTTTATTCAAAACTATTAAGTTTGCGTGACCAATCCTAAAGATGCTTAGGGAATTTCCTGTAAGATGGAGGAAAAGGCAAACAAGCCACACAGACCCTCTTCAATAAAGAAAAGAGAAACAAATCGACAGAGGTACAGAAGATAATTCTGGAGCCCTGAGCTTTGAAAGAAAGTACACAGAAATGGATGAGGCATGTTGTTAGTTGTTGTTAAGTGCCGTCAAGTCGTTTCCGACTCATAGCGACCCCATGCACAGCAGAACGAAACACTGCCCGATCCCGCACCAGCCCCACAATCCCTGCTATACTCGAGCCCA